GGGGGGGGGGGGGGGGGGCTCGTCCGTCGGTGTCCCCGTGGTGTGAAAGACAACTCCGTGAAAATAACACACTGAGAGCTCAAGGAAAATCTGCCGTGATGCGTATCGTGAGTGTTGCTGTCGTGTTTAGAAACCGTCTGTCGCTGCCGGCTGCCGTCAATGTGTCCCTTTGTTGAACTTGGAGGCCAGGTCCGTGGCCTCAGCAGCGGTACGGGGCTCGGCTACGTGGGTGAAGTAGGGACCTGGACGACGATTTATTCTTTTGCTGTTGTAGGCCAACCGCTTTCATCGACGTTTTCCCTCCCGTGAAATCTGAACGCTGCTCGCCTATTTCCCCATGCCCCCGTCCACCTACTCCCTCGCTTGATTTTGAGCGCCGTGGCTTTGTATGTCGCCGGAACTTTTTGTTCGGTAGTGATTCCCTACTCTTGCTGCCAACGTGCGCGTGTCACTCCGTTGAAAGTACCGACGTCCTACCCCTACCCGCCCCCTCCGCTCAATAGCGCTCACGTCCGCTACGCCGATATATCCCGCCCGCTCCGCTCTCTCCTTGCACCAAACGACAAACCGCTGGACGAATCGCGTGGAACCGACGCACACGTCCCGGCAAAATAAACAAACGGACACACACCGCGGGGGGTCGTGCTCCACGACACCAACATCGGAAGGCCGGTCTGATGCGGTTCGACACGGCAGGCTTCGTGAAAGCCGTCGCGATATGTGGCGGTGGCAGCAAGACCGACGCCGGCGGCAACGCCGGCGGCGGCAGTTCCGCGCTTGTCGGCAGCGGTGGCGGGGGGGGGGGAGCATCGGCGGCGACCGGGTCGGCTCCTTCGGGGGTTTCGGAAGGGTCGGGGGCGTCCGCCGGGGGCCACGCGGCGGGGTCGAACACGGCGGACGATGAGGCCGCTCCAGTAGTGGTCGGGGCTGCCGCCGTGGATGACGGTAGCGTTGCCGAGGGTGCTGGTGGTGAGGGGGGTCTGTGTGGAGTTCCAGGTGAGAAAAAGGGATGTTCGGTGTGTGTGTGTGGGGGGGGCGTACTCATATCCTAGCGGTTCAATCATTGACCACCGGACCATTGGCGGATCATGGTTCTCACAAGACCGATCACCGATGACCACTCGTTCCTCGCTGCTTGGCGCTGAGGGGGGGTTCATCTCGGTTCGGATTGACAAAGTGGCCGCCAGAGTCACCCGAACACGTTTAATCTTTTTTGCTGTACTGTACCTGGGTATTGGCGGTGGCTTCATGAGCGGTGGCATTCAGCGCAATCGAACCGTAGATGTTTTTTTCTTCTGCGATCTTTTGTCGAAGGCCGGAGGCATTGTCCAACCACCATCTTTGTCTCTATGCATAGCAAAACACGTCGTGTCCCCGTCCTGTACGGTAGTAGTTCCCGCACTGGGATGTTTATGTTTGGCGGAATACCTACGGGGGTTACCGGGTCGCCAGAGAGAAAGACGACCCCGCTCTTGACTGCGCCCCCTCCCCCCGCCTCCCCGCATGCCCCCTTTCTGCCGTACGTCCGCCACGACAATAGGCACGGAGTTGTGCATGGAACTGGTGCGCACGCGCGCGTTTGCGGCGCTGCTGTCGGATGAGGTCTTCGCGGATGTCGACCTGGAGACCGTCCAGGTGAAATTGCCGTTTGACAGCAGCGTTGGCATCGCCGATGTGTTTATTTTTTGTCTTGTCGGTGCTCCGTGCTCCCTACCCTTGACGTTTCGTGTCCTGCATGTAGTTTCTTTTTTTGGCGGCAGCTGGGGCTGTCCGTTTCCCTTCGCCGCCTTTGTTGCCTGGGGAGTGACACGAAAAACGCGAGAAGTCACGTGTGGAACCCCTAAAGAATCGCAGTAGTATCCCACAGTCGTAACGGCTCGGTTGTATTGAGTGGCACATTTTCCCAAATCACGAGCACTGAAGTAACCCACCCTCCGAGTGCACCTTAGCTATTTGTGTCCGTTGGAGTTGTGTCTACAGAATACCGTGAGCTTGTTGTCGCGAATGACGTAATATCTGCTTCGCGACCCTGCTGTTTGGGCCAACTCTTTTTTCAGCACCCCCCGCGCCGCTCGCGGACTCTTGGCCCCCTGAACATTCTGTTGCGCGTTACTCGTTGGCGCTGCTTTCCGAACTCGACCCCGCAGGGAGAGCTTCGACTGCACTCGAGGCAGATCAGGAAATCGGCCCCGTCCTAGCCAGGAAGCAGCGTCAAGCAGCATGTTTCCGAAGGCGTTTGGCTTCGCCATGGTACATACTGCAGCAGTAGACACGACCTGTTGCTTGAAGCGCTGGTCTTTCGGAGTGACGGGAGGGTGATGCGTGGTCTCTCATCTGCTCCTCTGGCACTGAGAACCGGGGTCCTTCTGTAGGGCGGGTATGCGGCATGCCGATCCACCCCCCCTATTTGTGGCCAGCAGTCCCCTATTAGTTTCACAAAGTGTAAATTGACTTGATTCCTTGATCTGCGCCAAGAGCTTTTCACCAGTGCTGTTGATCGCGACCAATCGGCCCACGAGTGCTGTAGCCTGACGCGAAGCACGCGATGCAACAGCCAGTTGATGCAAAGTTCGTCAGTCAGTTTTGTCCCAGCAGGCACTAACGCAGCAGTCATGGCCCAGGGCTGCTAGCTAGCGTGTTTGGCGGAGGGTTCATCTCTTAAACCCTTCATTGTGGTTCTACTGGTCACACCCACAAGTGACAAGGGAATAGTCTCGGAGTTGCGGCCTGCTTTATTCGTCGTTCGTTGCAGTATCGCGGCCCCGGTTTTACCACCTGGAGAAGAGTATCGTAGGCGAAACGCTTCGGTCTGGCGGGACTGTTGAGAAGGCGTTCAGCGAGGCGCGCGCGGCGTTGCGACGATTGGCTAGTGAGAGCACCGTTGGTTTCTGGCCATCGTGTTTTGTGTTGTTGACTTGGGCGGTGTTTTCTGCCCCCCCCTCAAATCTCTTCTGCACGGTCTACAACATCTGGCGAGATGTTAAGGACGATCGATCGGGGGACTGAACTTCACACACACCGGTTTCGCCTCTCGGCACAAACACAACCAACCGTAACAAAGCACCGGCAGAGATGACGAAGAAGGTACACCACTACACCGCAAAACGACACGCGTTCTTTTTCACCGAGCAGAAGAACGCCTTCCTCATATTTCAAAGGAACCCCACGATCGTCCGGAAAACTGCATCGTCTTCCAGCTCCACCACCCTGCGCCAGCATCTTGCCCAGTCCTCTGCCCGCGCCCCCACCCCCCACCCCGTCGCCCACGGGCGGCGCTAGTCCTTGCAGGTGTCCCCCCTCCACCGTGTAGTGCAGAGCGCTGCGGCACTTGGCGTCGAGGAGACTCGTGTCGGCGGCGGCGAGCATCAGCAAACGCGTCGCACCGGCATGGGCGCGCCCGTTGGAGGGCGGCCATCGCGTCCTCTCCCCTGAGCTAGCGTTGAAGCTCCTCCAAACCACTGTCCTCCGGAATATTAAACACCGCCTCTCCTTGCCGCCGCATTCGGCAGCCGCCTGGATCATTGTGCGCCTGCCACAGCCCTCTCAGTCTGCTCCTCGGTCTACCCCGCGGCGTTCAGGAGACCCAAGGCAAGTTCCTTGCCGCCGTCGGCAAGTGCATGCTCCAGCGGGGCTCCGAGCCATTCGGCCCACTGTCCTGATGTCGCCTTGTCGGACACGAGCTTCACCAGTCTTGTCTATCAGAGCTGCGCGCAAGTCAAAAATGGGACGTGAGTCTGTGTTGTTGTCGTTGTTTTCTTCAACTCGTTCCAAAGTTCTACCACCAAATTTGTTGTTATGTGTGTGACTCCTCCCCCCCCCCCCTCCAGTTGTACGATTTGGGTTAGGTACACCTCTAAAATGGAGTATTTTCTACAAAATAACATCTCCGGCACGCCGTCAAATGCGTGCAGTCGATGCTGCAGTGGAAGTTATACTCGTATGATATTATCCAACGGGGTCAGTACTTGCGGCTTTTCCCCGTGGTATCTTTACTCCCAAGCGGTTATACCCGATCTACATTACCCTCCGTCACCATGTCTTCGCAACCAGTCATGCTGCCAGAAAACCAGGGGTTCGCCTGAGGCAGGATGCAAGTTTCTATTAGTATCCATGTTGATTGCTCGATCTACTTGTACCGCCGTGCAAGTGTACTACTGCTGTACCCAGCAAGATCCACACTGCTTGCTTACATGAGCTTGTTCTTGACGAAAAAAAATCGCCGTCAAATTCGGGCGGTCGCATCTGTGATCTTACCAAAAATATACCACCTGATCGTCGTCGCCGGGGCCCACCTCTCTATCCTCTACCTTTGTCTCTGTCACTGCTCCCCGTCGTGTAAGAGTTTTGAGTGCTGAAACAGCAGCAGAGATGAGCAAAAAACTCCATATTCCAGGATTAAAACATTAAAACTCCCGGGGGGTCCGCCGTTTGCGGCCGACCCACCCCTAAACCGCCCGCGCTAGCGGACGCAGTCGTGGTGGCCGCCAGCAGCGAGCAGCGCCTAGGAAAAGAGCCTGTCGCACTTACGACACGCGCCCTGGCGCCTCAAACGCACGCCGCAACACTGGCCAGTGAAACCAATAGCTGCTACGGCCATTGATACGCAGTCAAGCACAAGGTGAGGTCCTCAAGGGATACGGGTAGAACGGCACGTGGGATCTACTGCTGTCTCTCTGCGGTCTGTCTCACTTTTTGAATTTTTTTAAAAGGACACATGATCGAGTACGTGTCTCTTTGCTTGGCCAGCGCGGTTGTTGCCATGATCTTGATACCGCAAGCACTATTTAGTATGTCCGTATGTACAACATGACGTTATATCGTATTTGTTGCCTTGTGCCAAGAAGAAGCTCGACCAATACCGTATGCTACCGAGTACCGACAGATCATGAGATGGACCTCGGACATGGGCAAGGTGACAGGTGTCGGCTGCGCGCGCAGACCACGACGAGGGCGTGTGGCCTCAACACGCCAGGCCATTACATAGTTCCAACACCAGACACATGGAGGATCGAAACCTATTGGTCGAAGTAGGTCTATGTTACCAATAAGTTCTCCAAGTCGCGGGTGACACACAGACAGAACAACGTCGTGGTGGCAAGCAGTCGCTCGACAGGCTGCTGGAAATGTTTTCGTCTGCGGACCCCCCCTGGTTGCAACGTTCGGCTATGCGCGCTGATGAGCCGGCCGAGGTATCACAGGTAGTGTGAACGGATTCGAGACGACCATGTCTCCCGTCGAATGAGCGGTAGTTGCACATGGGGTGTCCGCAGCGCCAGAAAACCTGCTTGGGACAACCTGGTTGGTGAACCCCCTGCTGTCATGTGTAAGTTAGGCCACTTGTTTATTCACGTGCAATACAGCATGCAGTACTGCTGTAGGTGTCCCGATATAGTGCCGGTGTGTGCCTAGACCATTGACCGGCACTATACCGGCCACCGACACTATTCAGAATAGTGTCTGAGTACATAGTGCCAAGCCGGCACTATTCAACGTCTCAAATTGACGAGTGTTCCATCTCAGAGTGCAGCGCTGACGCTTGCGGGGCTGACAGAGCGCGAAACGAACGGTATATGTGGATCAATTGTGAGGTGGGCGACGTGGGCGGGCTTCATCACGTTTCGTGAGGCTCCTAGCCTGTCGAAAACATGCGTTGGTCAATCAAAACTATCTCGACCAGGTACCTTGTTTGTTGCATCGTTGTTTTCTTGGCAGCGGACCCACACGCAGGGTAATTTTTGTGTACATGACACGGGGAAGAACTTCCAGCAATTCATGCATGTTTTAGAGGGAGGGGCAGAGCCGGGTAGATACCCGTCTCCCACTAATCACACGTCGACATCTGTAAGACATCTTGTAAGATAGAGATAGATGTTGGACGATGGGCACGACGCTCGGGGAGAATCCCCAAAATATTCTTGGAAGTCAGACGCAGCACAGCAGCAGCACACGCAAGTAAACAACATAAGCGACAATCAGCACAGCAGCACACGAGACTGCTGTAGGCCAAGGGCAACCAAAGGCACACATAATAGGAGGGGTTGGGTGTGACTCTTAGAGCCCGTTCCCTGCTGTTGGCAGCACAAGCGAGGGACGACGCATGTCAATCTGCGGTCTGTCTTCATCATCTGTCTACCGACCTTTGGAGCTTTCCACACAGACGCACCTCCACAACAGAGACAATGCGACGTACACACTGCTGTAGGCCAAGGGCAACCAAAGGCCGACATCATGGCAGGCGTCGGAAGTGATGTTTAGAGCTCGACGCCTGCTGCTAGCAGCGTAAGCGAGGGAAATGCGCGTGTACACAAGTCAAATCTATCTGCGGTCTGTCTTCGTCTGCAGGCCGATCTTTGCTTCCACAACAGACGCACCCCCGAAACAGAGGCGAGTGAGACGTACCTAATGGTGTATAGGCCAACGGCGGCCAAACACACACATCGTAGGGGGCGTCGGGACCGATTTTTGGAGCCCGTTGCCCGCTGCTTGGAGCGTACGGGAGGAAAGCAGGTGCACACCCTTGCACAGCAGCAAAAAACTGCTGCTGCTGTTTAGCTAGCTGGTCTGATGAGAGCTTGTCCACCAAACAGCGCTCTGATTCATCCCCGGGCTGCTAGACAGTAGACATCTGACTATCTCGTGGTGTCGGGTGAGGTGTGAGCGTGTGCAGTGGCAGTGTTGACCTCTGTGTGATGGCTTAGTCCCCGTCCACATTAGTATTTCTACGCCTGTTTCTTTTCTCTGACCCCTCATTCCGCGCGTCGAGCGAAATGCTATTTAAATCATTCTTCAAGTAGAAGTACTCCGAAGTGGCAGTATTATTTTTCGCAACAATTTCTTCACCGTTTCTGCTTTTTGATGCACCACCTTGCGTTAATCTGTGGCGTACGTTTCTTGCTGTTGCTGATGTCCATGGCGGCGAATATGTGTGTCTAATGGAGTTCCTTTGTTGTTTCAATGACTACTACATTCTTTGCATTTCGGACTTCGCTTTCGATCCCTTCTCTTTGGTGACACTTTCTTTCACCTTGACCTTTCGGTTTCCACTTCATTTCGTTTCGTGGGGGTGATGCGTCGCTCCTTTTTAGCCGCTACATGTATTCTTTTCCTCGGATCTTCTGTTTGTTATATGTGTTCGTGGAGTGTCGTCTAGGTTTGCTGTGTACGACAAATGCACTACAGCAGTTGTGCGTTGTTGTGCACACACTAGTGGAGGCTGTTGTGCATGGAGTGGGGCTTGACCTCAATTTCAAATTGTCTTGTCGTGTAGCGATCGTTGTTCGTATACCCTCGTGTGTGTTGAAGATGCTTGTATCACTGGTATTCAGGACAGCAGACGAGATCAAGACTCCGAGACAAGGCGGCGGGAGAAGAGAGAGTGGGCACGCAGCAAGTACTCCCAGAGACCGGGCCCCGTGAATCAACAACAAACCCAACCCAGGGTGCTGTCAGTTCCTATCTGCGAACCCTAACACAGTCCCGTCGGAATATCCAAACCTACGAATGGACACACCGACACCTTGGTTCTTTACGCGAGTAACTAACCACTAGTGGGCATGTACACGCCGGATGTAGCCGAAAGAACGCGCGAAAATTCCCATCACGGAAAAACAATATATGAGGGGAAACCCGACCTCGAGACCAACCCCCCCACAAATATTCACCGTTCAACCAAACACTGTAACGGTTGCAAGGGCAAGATCAAGACATGCATAATACCAGTCGCGCCAGAGGCCACGCTCGAAATCTACTTCTAAAATGTGGACTCTGGCGGCATGCTACTATAGTCTTCCTGCAAGAACGTACGAAAATAATTACCTTGTTTCCAACGACGGACTATGCCAATTATTGGTAAGCAATAGCATGAGACTATCCTGAGGAGTTGGTCCAAACAACTACCATGCGGCTGCACTGCTGTCTGTACTCCAAACAAACATCAGACAAACATCGAAACGCCCCCCCCTCGCTGGCGTAACACAGCGCACCGGGACAAGGGTCAATTATGCAACATTTTGCGTAACGAAATACCTGCATGTATTTTGCGAGCAACTCAACTGCAAGGAAGTACGACAACGGCGGTGCCTCATGTTTTCTCATATATTCCTTAAGCGATTCCAGCACTATCCCATCTTCCTACACGTTTCGCAAACCTAGAGAACGGCACGAACGTAGCCGCAATCATTGATGGTCTCAACTGACGAGCGAGCAGTAAGTATTGGACAGTAGACAAGGAACATCTCAGAGAAACACGGAACACCCTCCCTGTTTTTTCACCCAAAATGCACTCAAGACAAACAACGAGGTGTACCAACTTCGCTACGAATACCGTCAAACACCAAACACCGTCAAGACAGAAGTGCCATTGTGAGCACTATGATGTATGTTGCTCCCCTCCAAGCGCTCCTTCCGGCGTGTAGCCTCGCCAGGAAGGGAGTTCCCGTTTTAGCGCCACGATGCATGTTGCCCCACCCCACGCCCCTTCCGACGCACCACGGGGCTGCTTTGTTTTTCTCCCCCTCACGCCCTATTCGATGCGCCAAGGGGCTAACATTTGCCTCCCCCCCACGCCCCTTCGGAAGCGCCATGGGGCTGCATTGATTGTGGCCCTCCCGCGCCCCTCCCGTCGCGGCTATGGGCACACGGCCGTCCCGCCGTGGCCATCCCGCCGTGTCCTCTGAATTCTCTCCCCCCACACCCCTTCCGTCTTGGCTATTGGCACACGGCCTTTCGGCCGTTTTCTGTGACTCGACCGTCCCACGCTGCTGCTATGGTGGCCATCTCCACCATCTCCTCCTGCTGGTGCTGTGTGTAGATGGAGCGCGCGCGGTGACCCGCGTGGCTTTAGTGTCTTTCCCCCTCCCCTTCTTGCAAGGCCTCTCGTGCCACATCCAGCTCCTCGTCATCGCTTGCCACCATGATCGCCAGGACTGCCTCCTCGTCCTTCGCCGACGGGTCCTTGCTCTTGTCGTGTCCAAATCCGTCGCAGTTAATGCACTGGGGCATGAATTCGGCTAGTAGTGCACGAGAACGACTGGCAAGCACCGGTATCACCGGCCCCTGCCGTTGCCGTCGTCACCGCCGCCGCCGCGGTTGCCGTCGCCACGGCGTCACCGCGCGGCCGCGGCCGCGGTTACGACCAGCTCTTCCGCCACCGCCATTGCTGTCGCTCGCGATGAATGCCTGCTCGACCGAATTGTGATGTTTGCGGTTGCAGATCCGATGGCTCTTCCCCTGCCTGATGCTGGAGTGCTGCGAGTCCACCACGTGGATGATCTTGCCCCGACCCAGAGTCGGGGCGGACTGCAGGGTCAGTTTGGTGTGGTTGAACTTGGCTGGTAGGTCCGTGAGGAAGAGCGACAGAACGTAAGGGGTCTCAACTCCGCCCCCCTTGTCGTTCAGGCGACTTGGGAGTTGCTCCATGGCGATGAGCGATTCAGTTGAGTGTTTGTCGGTCGGCATTGCGAAGTTTTGCAACTTGTTGAGCTGCTCCTGTGTGGCGACCTGCGACTCCGGGTTGTGCACGTTGTCTGGTTCACCCAGGGCCTGTTTGGACGTCACGCATCCGACGAAGATTGCCTTGTCTAATTCCCTCACAAGGGCTGAAGACAGGATTTGGAAGCGGTGGATTTCTGCCTCTGGGTACCCTTCCGTCAGCAACGCAGCTTCGGTTTCTCCATGTCCCCAACGGGCGCCTGGCGTTCTGTGTCCCCTACAAATTGACCATCCATGCCAATCGTCTTAAATAGCTGGTTGGAGAAACGCCCTCCTCCACGTATAGTACGCGTGGTCGCCTTCGAGACGCGGCGCGATTACCGACACGCGCGTTTTTTTGTATGGCTGGGAAAAACCGTCTCCTTGTCCACTGATGCCACCAAGACCACCACCGTACGTCGCTGTTGTCTCACCCGGTCCAAACACCGGACCTACTCCAGCAGGGATTCTTGACACCACCGGGTTGTTTCCCGGTCTGGAGCGTCTCCCCATTTCTTGCTGCTGTGTTGAGGGCGGCGCGATTCCCTCGTTTCGCGCCCCCCCCTCCTGGGTGCCGCGGGTGGACGAAGCGCCCGTAACGACGGCGCCCACCCCAGCGCCGCCGGACTCCCCCTCCTTCACCCTTTGCTAGGGCGGCTCGGAGCAGGTCGGCCAGCTCCTGTACTTGGCCCGGAAGGCTTGAAACTGTCCCCTCCAAGTCGTCGGCCATGTCCTGCACACTCGTGGTGACGTCGGCAAGCTGGCCTGCAGCATCGGCGCCACTCATCTCCAGCACGGGTTCCCTGGAGAGATACACTCTACAGAGTGTTCTTACCTTGTGTGTTGAAGATGCAAATAGGACAGCAGACGAGATCAAGACTCTGAGGCAAGGCGGCGGAAGAGAAAGTGAGCACGCAGCAAGCACCCCAACAGACCCGGGCCCCGTGAATCAACAATAAACCCAAACAAGGGTGCTGTCAGTTCCTATCTGCGATACCCTCTAGTACAGTCCCATCGGAGTATCCAAACCTACCAATGGACACACCCGTCCCTACATATAATGCAGACCGTCCAGGCTGCCTTTTTTCATCTGCTATGTGCATCAGTCACTTTCAAACAAATGGACGCCATGCAAGTACGCTTGCCAGGACGGTGCACACATGTGTGTACTTCCTCTACGTTCACTAAGAACCACTGCAACACTTCGGCGTGCTGTGCACTAGCGAATGCGCGTATACCTGTTGCACCTAAGACATTCTATTCTAAACACTACCATATGTTGCGGTGCATACAGACTTCGATTCTGCCGGACTTCGCTGCCGGCGGCCCCACAGCCACCACACGCACGGGCGGGTACACCACTGCCAATTACACCACGTCGACAGGGAAGCCGGTGACAACGGCACCTTACCTTATCTCGCTTCCATACGGCGCCGTCTTTTCCCCGTTCCCTCGTCACAACATTTCCCACCCCCGTCTTCGGTCCGCTTTACATTCGGTGATCGGGCATATATACCTTTCCACGAAAATTCCTTTCGATGTCACTCTTTTTTTTTGAGACCACTGATCATCTTCGGAACAGACGCGTGGACCTCACACCGTCTAAGCCGACTTCGTTTACCCTTCTTCCCGATGTCATCATCACCTCTGCTTCCTCTGCCTATCAAACCGCCGCACCCATATCATGCATGCTGTCCGCCCGCCCCATTGGGGGGCGGGGGGCCAATTGTTCCCCCTAGCCTCTGCTTTCTCTGCCTATCAAACCGTCGCACCTATATCATGCATGCTAGCCGCCCGCCCCATTGGGAGCCAATCGTTTCCCCTACTTAGATATACTGACAGCCAGCTAATTTAACAACCATTCGTTGCACCTGGCGGAGTCTCGGCATTGTGAACCAGGCACTGGTGACAACACGAGTGTGTCGACGTTCTTTTGCTTGACTGAATCTGTCCTGCTTGCTAGGCGGCTCATGCGTGTGCTTGTCTTAGGTACATGAAAACGTAATGCAGCGACATATAAGCAGGTTTCGTGCATAGTGATTGGCTCCATGCTGCTGCGTGCTCCATATTTGTGGCAGATCCTCGACGGCAACGAAGGCTCCGCGACGGCAATGACGGCAGCACGGCCAGCAAGAGGTGACTTGTTTCGAAGCGTTCGCGGAGCGATACCACTGTGGGGAAAACTGCTTGTGTTGGATCCATGGCAGCCAAAGAGGACCGCACAGCCTTGAAGGGTCTGGAGAAGAGGTTGTTCAAGCTGGTATCGGAGAAGGCGACGTCGGCGCAATGGTCGGAATGGCTTCGAGCCCCGCTGGAGCACGCTGTGGCCGAGGGCGACAAGGATCTCGCCTTGACCCTGCTGAAAGCCGGGGCGAACGGTGGGTCAGGCTGGGAGGGTTGTAACGACCGTACTCTGCTTCAGGCGGCGGCCGAGGGAGGTAACGAGGAGGTGGTGTCGACTTTGTTGGGGAAAGGAGGCCTGGAGGAAATAGACGTTGCCTCTGGCGATCAAGACAGGACTGCACTCCACCGGGCGCTTATTGGGGGCCACACTGGCGCGGCAAGGGCGCTGATGGTCGCCGGCTCAGACACAAGTTTGCTCGATACCGAGAAGCGCAGCGCCCTACACTACGCAATTCGAGGGGGGCACCTGCAGCTCGCCGGAGATGCAATTATTGGGGGAGCCAACCTCAAAGCGAAGGATGTCATCGGTGACACCCCCCTCCACTTTGCTGCCGCTCATGACGACGACAAGTTCGTGTCCACGATCTTGCGCACGGGGGCTCGTGTCGACCGGCCCAACCGCGAAGGAAAGTATCCGCTCCACGTGGCGGTGGAGTGTGATCGACTCACCGTTGCAGAGGCTCTTTTGACGGCGGGTGCTGACCCAAACGTCCGATTCGGCAAATCCAAAATATACTCACCGCTGTTCTTGGCAGTAGGGCGCAGTCTGGCGACGATGAGGGTTCTGCTTCAGCATGGCGCAAACGTCAATTCGCCCGATGATCTTGGCTTCACAGCACTGCACTGGGCTGCCGACTTCGACGCATCGGCGGAGATCGATGTTCTTGTTGAGGCCGGGGCGGATCTTGAAGCGAGCAGTTCGAGCGTTCACTTGAAGGACAAGATCGGTGGCATTAACTCTTTCGTCGGAATCACGCTTCTTCATGTCGCCGCCTACTTCCACAATTGTGTTGCTATGGCCGCACTGCTACGTAACGGAGCTAACGTCGACGCAGAATCTGACAACGGCCTGACTCCCCTACACATGGTGGGCAAGACCTCCTTTTCCTTCGGATCGGTGGAAGCAGCCGACCTTTTGCTGAGATGGGACGCGGACGAAACGACCACCGACCACGATGGCCGCACTCCCAAAGCCCTAGTTTCTGGGCGTTCGTCCTTGAGCCGGCGGGTGCGGCAAAAGCTGGCCAACGCTCCAGCAGACAGGTCATGGCGTTCCCGAGGCATGTTGGTCATGTGTCGGGCTTTCCCTCAGAAGATGGCAGGCACAGGTCGGGGGGGAAGAGGTGGCAGGGCTAGAGCCCGGACCGGTGCCGGCCGTGGGCGTGGAGGTCGTAGTGCGAGCCGAGGTGGCAGGAACGGCAATTTACTGGCGCGCGTGGTGGAGCTGGAGGATGATGAAGTTTTCCGGGCGATCGTCACATTCCTGTGAAAGGTGAGAGGCTTGTTTCTTGGTAGGGACAGCAGCCGCGAAACGACAACGATGATGGCCACGACATATTTTCAGGATTCATCGTGGTTGAAAGCCGCCATCGACTCGTGGCGTGTGGACCCTCTTCCATCACCTCGGTTGAAAGCGCGACCACGATACGTATCCTTTGCCTTGGTTTGATTACCGTCTTTTTTCTTGTCACAGGCGGGGCATGTGTTCTGCGATGTAACAGGGGGAATGCGGGGAGCGTGTTTAGACACGTCAATTGCCGCCGTTTCACCCCTTTCTACCGCTACATCGAGACGAGCACATGCTTTCAGGGGAGCGAGCCACGGAAGATGAGGGAGCTCTGCTGTTCGAAGGCGCCTGCTTTTGGCAGTTCGCTCTGACCAGAGTATGTCTTGTTACGCCCTCCCAAGATGCGAGGCATGTTGTTCGATATCCTCCTCACAATACTTCTTGTGGTAGATTTGGTGCCGTTTGGCCTCAAAGAGTTGTTGTGGAGGGTAGAAGTGAAGAGTTTGAGTACCCCAACGGGAGATTGGGCTGGATAGTAACGCAACGGTCGTTTTTGGGAAAAACTAGAGTTGTCCAGTTCACGGCGTTTGATGGTCACGTCTCAGCGTCTACGTCGTTTTTACGTCCAGAAATCGGGGAAATAGTTATCCAAGAGTCCGGGCAAACGCTGCAATCGTTCAGATGTTCAATCCTGGACTACAGAGCCTGTTGTTGGACCAATAGGGGTGGGAAAATATTCCGTCACCCGTTGCTAATGACGTGGTTGTAAACGTTCCCGTCGAAATATGTTGCCGAGGGAAGTTGATTGGACGAATTGCTGACGTGTCTGTTTCTTTGGTGACAACGGGTTTGGTATTTTTAACTTTTCTTTCAATCGTTGTTGGTTGGCTGACCTAGACCCTGAAGGGTGTCCATCGGCTCGAGCTAGTGGCGCGTAAGCTACACAGCACCAACTAGGGTACTTGACATTTGAGTAAACATGCGAGTCCAAGCCTGGGTGCCTGGGCAAATGTGTTTTTAGTGACAGAGCGGTCTCGCCTTGATTTTTGCTGTCTGTCGAATCACCCAAAGTGGTACGTGGTCAACCTTCGATTATATTGTACTACACGCGGAGAAAACAATGCCATCGAGTTAGCCCGGGAAAAAAGAAAAGAAGGCAAGCGCTTCACTAGAGTCACGGACGTGACAATTGGTTTGGTGGCCGCAGTTACCACTTGCACGGGGGAATGCCTGGGTTACACAGCTATGAAGGTTGCTTTGTGTTCGCTTGCTGCTCATCCTCCACCTAGATTACTCTGGTCTTGCACTTAATCATTGTAGAGAGGACACGTATTAGCACGTACCTGTTATTGGTGAGGGGTTGTTTGGCTTTTGGCATTCGGGGTATTGTAAATGAAGGGAGACTCGAGACTGGACAGGGGACCTATTTAATAATACTTTTTTTTTTATGAACCTCTTCCGACATGGAGAGGTTTGGTGAGCACGGTGACTCGGAATGTACATGGGGGGTGCCGCCTTCGCTTGTTGGGTCTCTTTCTTCATGTCCCTTTTTTGGTAGTTAGCCTTTTAGACATGATGACGGATACATTGGAGTAAATCTGAGCGTAGATAGGTCGGAATGGATTGTAAGAAGGAAGACACTATACTGCAGCAGCAGCAGCAGCCGTAGCAACAACAACATGAGCCCCAACAGCCAACGGGGAAAAGCAAAGGTATAAACCACCGTAGCCAGCCTATAACATCCTTGTGCCTCCCGGAAACTGACACGAAGGTTTCCTTTGGTTCGTGGCCAACAACAGTAGTAACCTAACATTTCTTTCTCCCACTGCCCTCACAAGGAAGGTACTTTTTTGCCACCCATCAGCAGGCGTCTTTTCCGTCGTCTCCCTCACCCTGATGGTTCACGCCAGCGAGGACAATGCGGTAGGTCATCATCAGCGGCATGGTAGGCAAGCATGCGGAAGCAACAAGGCTCTATTAATAGTATTTTTCTCTTCTGTCTCGTGGCGAGAAGGGGGGAGAGGAACGGCCTTCAGACTCTGCGAAACGTAAAAAACTCCATTCGCGCACGATGACAAGTTAGTTGCAGGTTTTCGGCTTTTTTTTTTGTCGCCCGCTACCGCGGGTTCCAGACTCTGCGGACAGCACACGACAACTACATATACAGTGCATGCCATCATCATCAGTACCCGTCGTTGATGCGCAAACGTATCCCAAACATGGAACTAGCTACTCGTTGTAGCTCTGGACACAGGACAATGCCAACACGTTGTGTGTGAAGTTAGTTGCTGACCAGGTCGATTCGGAACGTTTGGCCTACAAGCAACATATTATCGCGCGCATGCAACAACACGTCACAGCGCACAGCATCATTTCGAACCGTAAGCGCAGGACAGGCGCAGGTGTTCCTGCACCGCTTCATGACCGCAAGTTGGAGCTTCTCGAGCCAATGTTCACGACATATTTTCCGCATCAATATCAATAACAACGTCGCCAACAACCACACGCCGGATAGGTACATGATGAACACCCAGTCTCTTGCAAGAGCGACCACGTACCCCACGTCGTCATGTGCCGCACTTTGCCCGGGAAAGTGAAGAGCACAAGTCGGAGGGGAAGAGGCGGCAGGGCTAGAGCCCGGACGCATGCCGGTCGTGGGCGCGGGGGTGTTAGTGTGGGCGCAGGGGCGGGTTTGAGGGGTTGATGGCACGGGTGGTGGAGCTGGACGATGACGATATTTTCCGGACGATCGTTGGCTTCCTGTAAAGGTGGAAGGCTGATTTTGTTTTTGTTTGTTTTAGGGATGGGGGTTTCCTTCAGGTGGGGTGCATGAAGTCCAGTTGCTACCCTGGCGGTTCCGGTTGCTGTGTGTGCACCAGTTTTCTGCAGCGATATCGAGGTCATCTTCACGATTTTGATGCACCACCCCGAAAGGACCCACTGAATGAAGCAGCTATTCCCCGTAGCTGACAGAAAAAATAGGCGTTGCTGCTCGCACCTTGGGGTGTTATCAGGGCTGATAATATCGACCTGATTTACAGTAGCTGTTTCGTTTGAAACGAGGTCTGTGGTTTGCGCGTAAATACACCCTCGGGGCCAGTTTATTTGAGTGTACCTTTTTAGGGTAAGTTAACCTGTGACCACGGGAATCGACCGCGTCGAGTGTTGGATCAGTACGGACATACGAAGGTACTGGGTAGAGAGAGATCGGAACGGTTTTTAATGTGAAGACAACAACAAAAACAACAACAACAACAACAACACGCACCTAAAAATCAGGGCTGAGAGATTATCAGAAAATTATCGCGAAAAAGATAAAAAAAAGAAAAATAATCGCCCTCTGATTGTTGTTGTTGTTGTTGTTGTCTTCACATTAAAAACCGTTCCGATCTCTCTCTACCCAGTACCTTCGTATGTCCGTACTGATCCAACACTCGACGCGGTCGATTCCCGTGGTCACAGGTTAACTTACCCTAAAAAGGTACACTCAAATAAACTGGCCCCGAGGGGTCCGCAAGTCAATAGAAATCAACGACAGATATTCTGGGATCCTCCGCTCCCTCTTCACGCTATGCGGGGTATCAACTGAGATTAGCAGTCACTATCTATCATGGGCCGGAGAGAAAGAGGCACACTCCCTTGGTTCAATCTTGGTACTTCACAACGCAAGCAGAGACAAGTCCATCTGGCACAGAAAAAGAGAGAAAAAAAGAGAGAAAAAAAGAGAGAAAAAAAAGGACAAAGAGAAAAAAAAGGAGAAAAAAATAAAAATGGAAACCGTAAGGAGAAGAGAAAATAAATGAAAATAAAATGAAAAAATGAAAACAAGGGCGAGGACAAAGAGGGACCAGGCCGAAAATAACAGGAAGTATGAGGCAGAACAAGGCACACGGTGGAGAGACCACTAACGAACAAGCAAACACGCAAACATGGCCACCAACCAGCGATACATTGTAGTGGTACGAAATCACTACTACGGGGTTGGTGCAATGGTGCAGCGTTGCGGGGGGGGGAATTGGCGAAAAGAAAATCAATCCGGCACGTGTCGTGCCACTCGGTCCGTCTCTTCTCGTTTGCTTTCTTCCCTCGCCGTCTCGTCCGTCTCCTGCCCCCCTCCCGCCCCATTGGTTGTTGGCTTGTGGTTTCGTTTGAGCGCTCGTTGTCGGCTGGCCTCTTCTTCCTTCTCGTGCCAGGAGGTCATGAACCTCTCAGCTCCCTGCAGCACCGCCGCATGCCAGGGTACTCCCCCCTCCACCTTCGCGGCTTCCGTCCACCTTGACTTCGGTGCCGTGTCTTTCGGTACGGGAATTCCGAGACAACTTGGGTCGGTTTTCGTAGATCCGTGGTCGGCCCCGAAGGCCTTCAGGTCGTCGAGCACACACTTCGGCCAGTTCTGTTCCTGTCCCCCCCTACGTGGCTTCTCCCCCCCCGCCAGCTCGCCGAGCATCAGTCGTTTCGGGAGTCGCCCGTCCGGCTGCCTTGCCAGTGCTCCCACGAACAGTAGGCGTCGTTGTCGGATCGTGGCTTCAACGCTCTGGCATTCGACCCTCTTCAGCGTCCGGGCGTACGAGAGCTGCCGGTAGGTGTCTTTCTTGCGCTTGTACCCGATAACTCGAAGGAGCAGTCGGTGGTGTGTCGACCGCAGCGTCTGATAGTGGCCGCTGAGTGGTGACCATGTCATGCAGCCGTACAGCAGTGCCTCCATCGCCTCCGCCTGGAGGAGGCGGATCTTGAGTCGGAATGGCGCTTTCGGTCTGTCGAAGAGCTCCTGGCCATATCGCCTGAGGCACGCCCACGCTCCTCTGCTCCTGTAGCTGATCTCCCGGGTGAGGTCGCCATGTTCGTTGACGAGGCCACCGAGGTACCGGAACTCGGTCGTCTGGGCGTATTTCTGTCCCGCGGCTTCGATAGTCAGTGGTGGAGGAGGAGGCGGGGGGGACTGTGATGTTGCAGTCGGCTTGTCCTTCGCGCGCATCAGGAGCGTCTCCGTCTTCTTCTCCGACACCGTTAGCCCGAACTCTCCGAACACCTCAACGATGATGGTCATCATTCTCGCCAGTCCTTCTGCAGACCTCGATACGACGCCGGTATCATCGGCATACAGCATCCCCCATACTGCCCTCCGTACTCGGTCAAGGGGTGTCTCCTCCCCCCCCCCCGCTTCCGTCTTCCCCTCCTCCAAGCACACCAGATTCCGCAGAACAACATCAT